ATATATATATATATATATATATATATATATATATATATATATATATATATATATATATGTATGTATATATAAGTTTTCTAAGACACTTGTGGTACAAGAATATGCAAAAAAGGGGGTTTCCACTTAAAATATATATATATATATACAGGGTGAGTCATTTTAATCGAACCAGGCAAATATCTCGAAAAATATGGAAGATACGGAAAAATATTTCAAACAAAAGCTGTATAGTTCGGAGGGGGACATAAGATGATGCAATTGGCTTGATAGTCGTTTGAAAGTCACATAAAGGTCACCTTCAATTTCTTAAATGGAAACCTTTATTTTTCATTGCATATTGTAGCTTACCTCGAGAGCTTTTCAAAACTATAAAATATTTTTTAATAAAATAATTATCTAATCTAATAAAAGATTTTTTCATTAAGTATCTTTCGAGTTAAAAAGCTTCAAAGTTACAATATTGTTGCCATTAGCATTGGTACCCAAGGTGTTCGATTGACGGCTGAAACCTTGTGAATGTTATTCAGGGCTATAACCTTGACATTTGTCAAAGTCAAGGCGATTGGAGGCTGTTCCTAATATTTTCATTTCTTCAAATTTTACAGTAAAAACAAAAATAATAATTTAAAATCATGGGATAACATAGAGTCCGATTGACTTTAAAAGATCATATAAAGATCACAATGCTATGATTATTAAAGAAATTTATTAATGGGATTTCACACGTGTGCTTCTTTCTAGCCCCGACGAAGCATTGTGATCTTCATATGATCTTTTAAAGTCAATCGGACTCCACATGTTATCCCATGATTTTAAATTATTATTTTTGTTTTTACTGTAAAATTTGAAGAAATGAAAATATTAGGAACAGTCTCCAATCGTCTTGACCTTGACAAATGTTGTCCCTCAACAACATTCAAAAGGTTTCAGCCGTCGGTCGAACACCTTGGGTACCAATGCTAATGGCAATAATATTGTAACTTTGAAGCCTTTTAACTCGAAAGATACTTAATGAAAAAATATTTTATTGTAATGTTTTGAAAAGCTTTCGAGGTAAGCTACAAAAATATGCAATGAAAAATGTAGGTTTCCATTTAAGAAATTGAAGGTGAGATCTTCACGTGATTTTCAAACGACTATCGAGAATCAAGCCAATTGCACCATCTTATGTCCCCCTCCGAACCATATAACTTTTGTTTGAAATATTTTTCCATATTTTTCGAGATATTTGCCTGGTTCGATTAAAATGACTCACCCTGTATATATGAATTTATGTTGTTCCAGACGAAAAAACGATATTGCGGATACATGTACGAGACGTGCAATCAGGAGAAACCAGAGTTCTTGGCGAAAGGAATCGAAACGGTTCGCAGAGATGGATGCCCCGCCGTTGCTAAGGTACGAGAACGACAAGCGCGCTGAGACAATCATATCTGCGGTTTTAAGATCAACACGTTCATGTGTTGCAGATACTAGAGAAGTCTCTGAAAATCCTATTCGATACGAAGGATATCTCCCTGGTGAAATCACATATTATCAGGCAGTTCGACAAGATCCTCCGCCGACGCGTGTCCATACAGGATCTCACGTTCGCCAAAGAGTTCCGCGGAATGCGTGGCTATAAGGCCAACGCTTGCGTGCCAGCGTTGGAACTGACACGTAGATTAATCAGGAAAGATCCGCGCGCTGTACCACGCACCAGCGAACGGGTGCGCTACGTCATCATCGCCGGCGCGCCAAATCAAACGCTTATTCAATGCGTACGCACGCCGATGGAGGTGCTCACTGACCCAGCGTTAATGCCGAACTCCGTGTATTACGTCACAAAAGTCATCGCACCGCCTCTTAATCGTTGTTTTAACTTGTTTGGGATCGACGTTAACACATGGTGAGCGTATTGCATATTCTTGAGGATTGCAGATATTTATAACATTTGTTACCAGCATTACACATGTGACAGCGAAGACTGTTTTCTACGTTCACATTATCAAACCAAGTCTGTTTTAAAAAAAATTAAGTGGTGGGGAGCGTTGTCGAAATAAATTCTGGTAGCAAATGTGATAAACTATTGTGTTCTGCAGTTCACATTTTGATATTTATTTCATGATATTTTGCTTTCGATTACTTCGCATTATATTACCCAATTACAATCGTATAGTGGAATTAACGAAATGCAAAGTGACTTTTGCCGCGTACATGGAGAGAATATTATATAGATTAGTGTGTGCAAAAGTGTGTTTATCGTGTTTATTAAATAAAATAGAAAACGAAAGTATATATATATGTGTGTGTGTGTGTTTACATACACACACACACACATACACACATATATACACACACACATTCATACAAACATACATAATATATGCAGGGTGGCTTACGTAAAATGTTACAAGCTAATAACTCTAAACATATTGTCCTATCAAAAAGTTGTTCATGAGAAAGTTTCATATATTCGAGGGGCCTTTCTAACTACGTAAACAAAAATCCACTTCCGTCCCCCCTTGAAGAGAGGCGGGGGGTAACTTCAAAATTTCAAACGGGACCCCCTGTACAATGTTACATATTTGGATTCTACGGGAAAAAACAAATAAACTTTGTCTGAAACATTTCTTTGGAAAATGCTCCTATCAAAAGTTATAAACATTTAAACTTTAATGTAGAGTGCATTGAAATTAATGATAAGTTAAATAAGATTCATATTTTTTCTGTTTTGTTTTATTTTATTAAACGTTCGAATTGTTGACCATTAACATCTGAACATTTATTAATTCTTTTTACAAAACTTTGCCTAACTCTAAACAACATTTCTGGGGTCACCTTAGTGCAAACTAAGAGTTAGGCAAAGTTTTGTAAAAAGAATTAATAAGTGTTTAGATGTTAATGATCAACAGTTCGAACATTTAGTAAAATAAAACAAAACAGATAAACTATGAGTCTAATTATGAGTTTAATTTATCATTAATTTCAATGCACTTTACATTAAAGTTTAAATGTTTATAACTTTTGATAGAAGCATTTTCCAAAGAAATGTTTCAGACAAAGTTTACTTGTTTTTTCCCGTAGAATCCAAATATATAATATTGTATAGGAGCTCCCATTTAAAAGTTATCCCCCACCTTTTTTCAAGGGGGGACGGAAGTGGATTTTTGTTTACGCAGTTAGAAAGGCCCCTCGAATATATAAAACTTTCTCATGAACAACTTTTTGATAGGACAATATGTTTAGAGTTATTAGCTTGTAACACTTTACGTGGGCCATCCTGTGTGTATATATATGTATATATATATATACACACACACACACACACACACATATATATACAGAGTGTTAGTTAAATATGTTGCCATACTCAACAGAGCGATTTTTTGGTTTATTTCAAGTAAAAAAGTTCATATAAACATGTGTCCTAAACGGCTTAGTTTCCGAAATATAGGTGAATGTTCGCAAATGTTTGATGAAACGGTAAATTGCGTTGGAGATATCTTCCTGCATAAATATGCCTTGCTTCACGTGAGTTACCATTCGCACGACCGTAAACAAAGTGACAAAGTCAAAGTCATAAAATCAAAAATAGACTTCAGTTCTGATGTTGCTGCGGGTTGGTTAGCTTGTGCATACGTTTTCGGGCCAAATTGTTTCAGTCCATCAAAATCGGTTTCATCATGCCGAAGTTTACAAATTTTGAAATGGCAGATATTCACTTTGCCTACAGTCTTGCAAGTGGTAACTCACGTGAGGCAAGGCGTATTTATGCAGAAAGATATCCCCAACGCAATTTAACATGTTGTAAAACATTTGCGAATATTCACCGCTATCTTCGAGAAAAGGGTTCTTTTGTAAGGAACACTGTTGATTTTGGAAAGCCAGTTGACAGTTAGAACACCAGTACTAGAGGAAGCTGTTCTAAACGAAACAGATTATTACTACACGTTTAAATTTTTTTATTTCGGGAACTAAGCCGTTTAGGATACATGTTTATATGAACTTTTTTACTTGAAATAAACCAAAGAATCGCTCTGTTGAATATGGCAACATACTTAACTAACACCCTGTGTGTGTGTGTGTGTGTATATATGTGTGTACACATATACGCACGCACGCACGCACATACATATATATATATAGGGTGTCTCAGACCTCCATGATGACCTTTTGTGAGAACGTAGAACCGATTGAAGTGAGCAAAAAAGTCCTGTGCCGTTTTGCGATATTCGCAATAATAGTCGAGATATTAATTAAAAAAGATTGGTGAATGATCACGCACAATATGGTAGATGAGCTACAGTGACGCCGTCTGCCGTTGTATACTTATATATGAAGTCAAACTGAACAAAAAAATCCGTTACCATTTTGTAAATGATCACATAAATTTTTAGATATCAATTAAAAAAAATTTGTACATTATGGTATACAATCCTATATGTAACAATTTTCTTTAATATTTAAAAATCTATGTGGTCATTTGCAAAATGGTAGAGGACTTTTTTGTTCGGTTTGACTTAATGTATAAGTATACAACGGCAGATGGCGCCACTGCAGCTCATCTACCATATCTCTCTCTCGCGCGTGATTATTCACCAATCATTTTTAATTAATATCTCGACTATTATTGCGAATATCGCGAAACGGCACAGGACTTTCTTGCTCACCTCAATCCGTTCTATTGTAGTAATTTTTACTATAAAATTCTTTATACAATTTATTCGAGCGATTAAGGAAAAATAACTTACAATATCGTGTAATTTACAGGTATAAAGAAATGTGTCACCGCCAAAGTTTCGACAATATCGCATACTTAGGAAGAGACAATCCGAAATCCACTATTCGTCAGTTTTTCCACTCCGTCGCGTGCGTTACTTGCGGAGAGCTGACGAACAAAGAAGTCTGCACAGAATGCGTTTCGCAGCCAAGCCGGACTATAGTTGTGCTTCTCGAAAAGATATGCAAACTGGAAAGAACTCATCAACAAATCGCTAATGTAAGCATACTAAAGAAAAAAATATCAATAAGCATCTTTAAGCTGTAAATTGCGAACTATCAAGTTCACTCTCGTTAATGAGCGAGTGAACGTAACGCATTTTTTTCGCAGATCTGCCATTCTTGCATCGGACGATTAGGTGACATAGAATGCGCATCCTTGGACTGTCCTGTTCTGTATCAAATGGTTCAAGCTCGCAAGGAGCTCGCGCAAGTCCCGTATCTGAATAATATCATCAAAGAAATGACTTAGAGAAAAGATTACACGACAATACAAAAAAAAATCGATGTATATATAGATATGTAATTCTAGGAATTGCTTTCGTGGTTGTAGCCGTATTTTTGATGGATTTCTTTCCTCGTTGGTTTTGTTTTGTAAATAAATCCACAAAAAACGCGGCTTCAACTAAAACCAATCATTCTCAGAATTATATATTACATATTGTCGCGTAATTCTGAGAATGGCTTCCGTGTCGGAGACGCATTTTTTGTGGATTAATTTCCTCCTTGATTTTGTTTTGGAAACAAATCTACAAGAAACATGGTTGCAAGCTGAAAGCCATTCCCAAGACTTCTCCAAATTAGGCCTCAAGTCTCAAATATATGTAACTAATAATATTTCTAATAATAATTATTTTATTTATAACGTTAGAATTAGATTATATTATAACGTTAGAACGTTATGAAAAGAAACACACATTAGCAAATAGTATCTTGGAACAGCTCGGGACGAGCTGTGGCCTCCAGGTTCCACGAGGCGCAAATCTCTTCAGGGGAAACCATCGTCGTCCTCCTCAGCCATCTCTTTGGCCAACTCGAGGTCCTGTTGCTCCCTCTCCCTGCGCTCCTCCGCAGATTCAAGATCCTTGCCGTAAGATTTGGGCGGGTAGCGCATCGCCTTGACGCTCTGATTGTGTAAATCCAAGCAGAAGGTGATCCTCTGATGAAACGCCAGCAACGGCTCCTTGGTACAATATATATCCGTGGTCTCCTTACTGCGCATGTAGCCGTTCTCCGGATCGAGAGTGGCCTCGATTACGCCGTCGCGTATCGCCTTCGCCACGATGAACTCCGCGTCAACGCAGGAGTCCAAACCGAGTTTGCGGGCGATATCGGCCGGCGAGATCCGCGAATACGACAGCCCGATCGAGCGAATCGCTGTCTTGATGACGTTGTGTCGCAGGCGCAGGATCAGCGTGAACGTGTGATCCGCGCGGAACTGCGGCCCGAAGTTCTCTAGGACCTCGCCGAAGCGCTGCAGATTGCCCAGCCGCACCGCCTGCGTCAGCTGGAAGTACGGCGCCAGGGCGCGGCGTAGTGCAGCCTGTCGGAAGATTTGCCTCTCCGGAATGTCGCCGAGCAGTAGCTCCACAGCGACGGCCAGCTTCTGCACCGTTTGTCTGAAGCCCACCGCTGTGGTCTGCGGAGCCTTGCGCATCGCCTGCACTAGGTACTTATGAGCTGCTGAGTACTCCAGTCGGGCTGCCTTTATCCTGCCCAGGTAGTAGAGGAAGCGCGCCCACTCATTGTTGCTGGCCGACTCTGGGAAAGTGGACTTCAGCACCAGCTTGTCAGCTTGATCGTAAAGGCTGTAGTGCAGGTAATTGCGCAACAGGCAGTTGATGAGGACCGCCTGGCCCTCGAAGTCGTTGCGCAGCGTCGCGGTGCGCAAACGCAAGTGCAGGAAGCCGCGGATCTTGTCCAGTTGATTGGTCAGCTCGTAGGCGCGCGAGTGATAGAAGTAGCACTTGGCAGCGATAAGATCTATGGTCCTGCGGTTCTGTGTGGCTATCTTCTGAACCAACAGTTCGGAGCACTGCACGGCCTCGTTGTACTTTCTCGTGTCAATCAGGCGGATCAGCACCAGAAGATGTACGTACGCGTCGATCTCCGGCAGCAGGGTGGACGAGAAGGGACGAAGTCTTTGGGTTGACTGCGCCTCCGCGTCGACATCCATCGGCTCGTCCACCCACGCGAGCAGGGTGTCGCGCTCTGCAGTGGACTTGGTGTAGAATCCGGTGACGAGCCCGCGCAGGACGAGCGGGTTCAGCCGACGGCGGGTGTTAGGCAGGGTGCGCAAGGCGCGTAGCACGAAGCGCGGCTCCTTGTTCTGCACGGCTTTCTCGATTTGCCGGGTATGCTCGCGGATGTCATGGATCGTCTGCATGTCGGTGTCTTTACGCTCGCCCGCGCCGTCGCCGTCACCGCTCTGCGCGTCCGACGCGTTTGCAATGTCCACTTCCATCGCTTCGACGTTCCTGCCGCTTGGCACGCCCATTTCTCCTCCGTCCTTCTGGCCTTCTCGCTTTTCTTCAGACGTGATGAAGATCTGCTTTTGCGCTCTGATGACGTCCGGATATTTCGCTGCAGATAACCTCCAATTCAGACTGTCATCACTTCACTCGAGTTTCTGCAATTCACGGACTCTCGCGACGCACGATGAGGTTAGGTATACCTTTCGGTTCATTGGTGCGTTCATTCTTTCTTTCATCGTCGACGATGTAGACTATAGAGTTGCATTCCTTCCTTCCAGAGAAAATCTAAAGGCCGGTTTATGATGGCCGTAATCGTTGTGCCGGAACTGTAAAAAATTGACCAATCATAGTTGAATTATAGAAAAATAATCGACTGTGATTGGTCAATTTTTATGGTTCCGGCATAAATTAACGGATTAGGCACGGAGTAGTATACATGGACCCCGCATACGGTCAGAAAAGTGAACCTAAGGATGCGTTCAGATTCTTCATCCGGGTGCACTCTATTACTAGAAACACTATGTTTGTTTGCGTCGCATGCCCCAACGGGCTCTTACTCGCTCCAATGCACTCTGATTGGTTCACGTCACCACGCGAACTAATCAGAGTACGTTGGAGCGAGTAGGAGCACGTTAGGGCATGCAACGGGAACAAACCTCTTGTGTCCCATGGAGCGGAATACGCGAAGCGGATCACGCGGAATAATATAAAAAGTAGACTTTTTAATGTTATCTCTTACGTTTTTAATAATTTTGATAATATTTTATATAAATGATTTAATATATGATAAATTAGTAGATAAAGAGTAAAATTAGTTTCTCAGTAAAATATTTTTTACAAAAATATGCAACTATTTTACGATTGGCTAAAACATAATTCCGCTGCCGCTTCATGGTATAGAAGGAAAAGTACATTAACGGAATTGCGGTGATACATTATGTAGTATAATAAAGTGAGATCTGTCGTGATTAATTATGGAGAATATATTATATGATTTTTGTCGACTGTGGCTGTTAATTAAACATATAAACATATAAACATATTCACATATTATACATAATTGTTTATTACAATTATCAAAATATTAACATCTTATTACTTATCCCTCCACTCATTATTTCTAAACGAAATAATAAAGAATTTCGAAAAAAAAATATATATATATGCATACATACATATATATATATATATATATATATATATATATATATATATATATATATATATAATAAATGTATAAGAACCAAATGAGATATGTAAGATATGTTGAGGTTATCCGCGACTATCTTTATCCTTTCCGCAAAATTGCGAGGAGTAAGATTATAACGAAATGGCATAAAAAAAAGCGGAACGGCTGTGATTGGTCGTACTGGTTCCGCGTGTTTCGTTCCGCGTGTTTCGTTCCGCGGAGAATTTCCTCCCCATAGGATATCGGCCTAAGTCTTGTTCTACAATACGTCGTATGTCGCTGTCGTATGACGGAGTGCAGCCGATGGACCATTCAGAGGATTTGTTTTTCGAGACGAGTTCTTCTGATGAAAACATAGACTGTCCATGTTCTTAACCATGCAATTATGCTCTTAACATGGACACAAATCGCCAGAAAATAGGCACACAACAAATGGACACACAACAAATTGACACTTTACTGGCAGCGTCTGAAAATGGGCGTAGGGAACGTAATTCCACCTCAAAAATGCGTGCAGATGGCGCATCGAACAGCGTGAAAATCAGTGTCGGCCAAAACGTATGGCGTGGCCGCTCTCAGGTTTCTCTCGGGTGTATATCAGTTGGACACGGGGCAATTGGACACAGTCCAATCACAAGTCGCTGTTCCAAGGGACCCTACAAATGTCTCTAATCACACGGTGCTGTGATTGGCTGTGTCCAAATGCACCGTGTCCAAGTGCACCGCTCCCTTTCTCTCTGGTATTGCTTTCCGATGCTCAAGTAGAGTTAGTTAGAGTTAACTAGAGTAGCATAGCGAATAACGTGAGCATCAGCTAGTTGATTTTCAAAAAAGAACAATTATAGTGTTTTTCATTGGCAGAACTGGTGCGTATTGAGTGCGCACTAAGGCTTGTTTACAACACATTTTCATATTTAAGATCGTGTTTTAAATACATATTTAAAAATATTTTAGATAATAAAATGATTCGTGCGGATGTTATACATATTATATTACTGGTTAAAAATATTTGAGAATTTATTTAAGACAATCTTTCAATATAATAACATACTGTAAACAAGCCTTAGTGCGCACTCAGTGCGCACCAATTCTGCCAATGAAAAACGCTATTAATTACAAGTAATAAAATGACTCACAAATCTTTTCAATTGCACTTCAAAATTTTTCATACAAAATACAAGCGATTTAAAAGAATAATTTTCCAACCGGAGTTTTTTTCCGGTCAAATACATACGAATCTTTAATTGTCAATCGTCAATCGCCAATCGGTAGTGTGATTTGCGATAAGGCCAAATCATATTAGCGATTGGCGATTGATGATTGACGATTGAAGATTGGAACTTGACCAATTGGAACAAAGCAAGCCAAGGCTGAAGTTTGTTGATTCGTTAAAATCTAATCTTTAATTGTTAATTGTCAATCGCCAATCTCTAGTGTGATTTGGTCTTTAAGGGCTATCTACAATGGAAAATCGTACGTCGTAGCAGTAAGAAATTGACCAATCATACTGGATTTTTACAAGAATAGTCGATTATGATTGGTTAATTTTTTACTTCTATGGCGTACGATTTTGAAGCTATTGTAGATGGCTCCTTAAGTTCCGGCCTAACCGCCGTTACGATAAAACGTGTTTAAACAGGTTCGGAATTGATTTTATTGAAATTCGTATCTCGGTACCTTGTGAAAAGACAGTAGAGATAAGTCTGAGTCCATGTAAAATAATAATAATAAGAAGAAGTGTTTCGTTATTAAAATATATTCACACGTGGTTAAATATGGATGACGAAGATGAGACCTACAAATTGTGGCGCATTCGAAAAACAATAATGCAATTGTGCCATGATCGTGGATATCTCGTCACGCAAGACGAATTAGACCAAACAATAGAACAGTTCAAAGAACATTACGGAGACAAACCCAGCGAGAAAAGACCAGCTAGGAGCGAACTTATTGTTCTCGTGGCGCACAATGACGATCCCACGGATCAACTATTCGTCTTCTTCCCCGATGAACCAAAAATCGGCATCAAAACCATTAAGACTTATTGTCAGCGTATGCAAGAAGAGAAGATCCATAGGTTGGTCTTGTACACAATAGTATTATATCATTATATCTGTTATAGTTATTTTGTATCATTTTGTTATATACTTCAATTATAATTATATATATATATATATATATATATATATATATATATATATATATATATA